TAATTGTGTAGCACCATTCTGGCATGTTTTATATTTTTTACTAATTTTCTGCCTCCTCCTGCTAGAATGTAGGATTCATGAAAGCAGGGGCAATGTATGTATATTTTTGTCTCCCCTTATTGTGATATCTTCAGCACCTAGAACAGTGCTTGGCTCAGTAAATAGTTGTTGAATTGAGTATATGAAAAGTCCTTGCATGCTTGTCTGATTACCTAAGAAAGAGTAACTCTTTTACCTTTCTTAGAGAAATGCTCACATTGTGTTGTTTTTAAATAATCAGTGGCAAGGTTAGTATTAATAGTATAGTAATAGAATTTTCATTTTTTAATTGCTTAACTGATAACAGGTTACTGGTTAACTGCAACTTAGCTTTTGTATCTCCTTGTCATAGAAGATATCTTAGGAAGAGAGTATGTGAGAGGCCTTTTATTAATAAAAATTTTACTGTTCCACAAAAAATTTTAAGGTGTTTTTGTTTTGTTTTGCCAAAATATGATCTTACGGAAAACTTAGAGGTTATCCAGTGATTCAATAGGATATTTTTGATTGTGGTTAGTAGAAAATTTGATTCAAAGTATCTTAAACATTAAGAAAATATACTAACTAATGTAACTGAAAGTCTAGTATTAGATGGCTTGTTAGTTATATTCTTGGCAAGAAACAGATGGCATACTCAACCTACGTTTTTGAGAAGAGTTTAATGCAAGGGTATTTAAAAAGTTGTAAACAGGGAGCTTGGCAAGATTTGAAGAGATGAGGGAAATAAGTGTTTAGTATAACCCAAAGAGAAAGTTGTTGTAGCTATTAGGAGAAGGGTACCTGATGGGAGTGTGGTCTTCAAGAAAGGAGTATAGTGTAAGTGTACTGAAGGGGTAAAATCTGGAAAATATATACCCAAATTCATTTTCTTTCTGTCCTTTAATTTCTTGGTAATGTCTTCAATTAGTCAAACCCAACTAGAAACCAGTAGGCAATAGAGCATCCCAAGCATGAGAATAGGACAGGGAATGTTGGAAAGGCAGCAAAAGGTTGGAAAAGCAGCAAACAGTAAGCTGTCTTTCAGGGCTGGGTTATCTGGGTCTCAATAATGTCATCAGAGACCCAGGTTTTGTCTGTATCTCTACTGTACCAGCTACAGTGTTGATTTTATGCTAAAGCCGATACTGTTTGAGGTCACAATGCTGCCAGAAGAATTGGTGCTGTATGCCTTCACATCCAGGTAAAGAAAGTGCGCTCCTTCCTGTCAATTGCTGAGCAAGTTTCTTCTCTCCAATTTGATTGGTTAGCTTAGAGCTTGGCTGGCCTACCATTGAACCAGTTGTTGCTATGAGAATGCTAAATTTGATACCGAGTCTCTGAGCTAATCATTGCTTGCTACCCTCCCTTATCACTCCCTACCAAAACAACAACAAATGAATAATCTGGTTGGATTAGGCTATTTGGAGCAAAACCTTGAAGTCCTGGGAGGAGCAGAATGGATAATAGACTACTTTATGATGTACCTCTACAATTACAATAGTTTTACACAATTTATTGAGTATATACTCATTCACATTATATGTATATGTGTGTGTATGTATAATGATTTCTACAATAAAAATGAACGTTTCTGATAACCTGTTCCGTTATGGGCTAATCTAAATGTTGGAACAATCTCTCTTTATTGAATAGAAGTTTCTCTTTGTAACCTCCAGTGCTCCTATTTGGTTTAGTTAATTCTGGAGTGGATGCTATAATGCAGCAATTTTATAACTTCTCAGATATTATTTCTAAATATGATTTGCCATATTACATATAGTACTTCTTAAAAATTGTGTGTTCTGCCACCACATAAAAGTAATATATGGATCAAATTCCAGAGCTTACATTTTCTATGAGATTTAAATTGTATTTCCATCTAAAAGTTACAGATTTATAACTATAAATTATCCAAGTATAGATCTCCTTTTAAAATAGCTTTACTTGAGAAAATGAATACAAATACCAAAATATAAAAATATTTTAAAACTGTTAATCAAAGGAAATACATCTAAAAGCAGAGTTAGAGATCTTCTTTCTTCTTTTCCCAGGCTGTGTTTTTTCCTACCTATTCTGTTCTTACTCTGTTTTTGAATATGACATTAATTCAGTTAAATGTTTCCTGGGAAATTAGGATAGGGATCAGGAGGAAAAAAGATGAATAAGATAATATCTTTCTTATATTAGGAAAGAGATTTTTTTTTACACTAACAGTAATACAAGGAAGAAGAAATAAGTACTACTAAGAGGTAAAGGTAACATGCAGTTGAAGAGAATATTCATTTATACATTTATATACTATTTACAATCCAGAATAGTAGGATTTTGAGTAGGGAAATTAAAAGACACAATTTTAGAAAAATATTTTCTGAAGAATAATTTTAGAATGCAAATCTGGTACCCAACAGCATTAATTGGTATGCAAAAACAACAGGCTTTTTTTTTTTTTTTTTTTTTTTTTAAAGTAATGTGGAAGGCCTTGTGTTGCTTCTAGTATATCTTTTAATATCATGGTCCAAGTTCCAAACTTGTTTTTGTATTATGAATTCATCAAGTGGATATGTTTATAATGGTCAGCCTGATTTTATAATACAGGTTAATGTTCTTTATAAGGACATGATGAATAATTTTTTATGAGCTACAGTCTGGTCACATAGCATGTTTAGTAACAGGATATGACTGTATTCTATTTTAGAGTTTTACGTGTAAGAGTAGAATGTATCAGATCATGTTCTTGAAATCATTACTACTGAATAAAAATAGAATGTATAAGATAAGCTATGTGAAATTGTAATTAGTGAAGGAGCTGGCTACAGTTTTAAGTAACTAGTGATCTCTTATTTTAATTTCATTCCCTTACAAAGTACTATATTATTTTCATTGATATTCCTTTAAATATGATTACCTGCTCTTTACTTTTTAAACTCAAATGTTTGTTTTGGTTCCCCTCCTTTATTAACTCAGCTATTTATTTAGATCATTTCCACCATCTTTTGTAAAATTTTCATTGAAAATTATGTACTAAATTTTGATTTGAATTTCATTGAAAATTATGTACTAAGTCTTGATTTGAATTTTGTAGGTTATTGCTTATGTAAGCACCATTGGTAATTTTGTCAGACACATTATTATATTAATGTGAGATCATTTTTAACCTTGTAATAATTTGAACCAATTAAATGCCCCCTTCTTAGTAAAATCTGTTAACCATCCTTCTACAAATGTTTTATCTGCACCATAGTTTCTTCCATGAACTTAGTAACCTCTAACATGTTACATATTTTTCCTTTTTATTTTATTTACTATGTGTTCCTGCCTTATCATCTCTTAGAATATGTTCTGTGAGGCAGAGTTTTTTCAATTTTGTTAGCTGCTTTTTTGACAATGCCAGGGAGCGTACTTGACTAATAGTGAGTAATCAACATGTATATTTTCTAAATGACTAAAAGTCTTGAGCTCTACCTTTAAGGTAAAGGAAATGTATGCAGAGGTGTTACAAACTGGGGGAGCAAGATGGTAAAGGAGGGGAAGCAAACGTGTCCTGTGGGTGAAATTGGCCCACAGTAATATTCTGTAGGACTCAACAAAGAGGTTTAGTTTTGGTCTTCACCACTCTTTACTGTCTCCTACTCTGGTTTACACATTGTTGTTAGCTATTTGCAATCATTTTAGTTTGTGACCTTTTATGTGGAAGTGTGAAAATTCATGATGTGCTTAAGTCAAATTTATTGAGTTGTCCTTATTATGAACATGAGAAATGTAACTACATCATATGGGAGGTAAACTTGGTAAGACGATTTCATCCCTTTTAAACTTAGATCATCTTAAACTGATATTCAGACTTCAGTCAGTGAAGACAAGGGAGGAAAGATGTGTTGTGTGATGTGTGCTTTAGGACTCAGTGGTAGGTGGTTCTTTACCCTATGATTGAAAGGATAGTGATACTACAAAATAGTATCACTAGATGAGGAAGAAAAGATTTGTGTAGGTAGATGTAGTTTTTGATGTTTGAGTTTGAATTATCAGTTTTAATGAAAAGCATTTTTTAATATTATAGCAATTTTATCTGAAATTGTATTCTAGGATAGCATTGTCCAATTAAAATACAATTCAAGCCTCAGGTGCAATTTAATATTTTCTAGTAAAAAATTGCAGGTGGTATTAATTTTAATAATGTATATAGCCTAGTGTTTTATTTTGATAATATGCAAAATATTATTTCAACATCTATTCAATAAAAAAATACGATTTTTAAAAATATTCTGAGCTGGAAAAACCCAGTTTTTTTCATACCTACAACGCATCTCACTTTCAATTGCAACATTCCAGCAGCTCAACTGCCACATAGGGCTTCTGACTACTATATGAGATGGTTAAGCTTTAAGGTTTGGTTTCAATTTTGGAGAGTCTGTTGTTTAAATACGGTTGGTAATAGGTACATGGTGATAGCCATTGAAAATTCTTGAAGCGAGTACTCAGCATAGACATAGTGTTATATGAAGCTATGAAAGCATATGTCATCCAAAGATAGGGTATTTATGGGAGAAGAGAAGATCAAGGAAATAATATTTTAAGCAGTATTTTACATATTTTAAGCTGTATTTTTATATATTTTAAACACTATCACTTTTTATTTCTGTGTCTAAGATCTCTTCTTGTATGTCAGTTTCTATAAAAAATGAAATGAAGACGTTTACAATATTTCATTTCCTTAGCTTTATCTAATAGCATTATTTAACTTGAATTATTTATCTATAATTGTCTTAGATCGGACTTCAAATAACAAGCTATCACTCAAAGAAATAGCTAAAATTTCAGATATCTTAAAAAATTATATTTTCGTGGCAAAGAAAATATAAATGTTTTTTTCATATTTATTAGGGATAGCATATGAAAAATTCATGTGTGCTTATACTAAGTCAGAAATTACACAATTTGATATTCTGGATATTTCAAGCTAGAATTTCTGTTTTCTTTCTTAGTCATCAAGAGTTCATATAACTAGAGCTGTCCTGGAGCAATTTTTATCTTTTGCAAAATACCTTGATGGTTTATCTCATGGAGCACCTTTACTGAAGCAGCTTTGTGATCACATTTTATTTAACCCAGCCATCTGGATACATACACCTGCAAAGGTATGAATTTTATACTTACTCAGTTTGTTTTAGTGCAATGTTATACATTATAGTTGCTGGATCTAAAGTATCCAGTGGAAAACATTTAAACATTTTAGCTTATTTTATAGTTAATCTGCAGCAATTGTGTTAGGCAGTATCAGGAGATCAAAATATTTATAAGTAGTAAAATAAATGAAACGATAGGTAAAAAATAATCTTTGTGTAACATTGCATTCCTAACATCTTTAGATGTGATACATACTTTTCCAATGAAGAGAATTAGCCATACCAATTTTTGAAAGACGAGGAAAGAGAACAGAGAACTAATTGTATTATGACTGTAATCATTTTGCTGGAAAATTGCTTTCATTTTGAAGGCAGAATTTATATCATGACATGTAAATAATACTAATTTAAAAATAAATATATACATGAAATAAGTATTTTTCCAGATAATAACAGAAAATTCTTATTATTTTATATACAAGGATTTAGTCCTAGTTGAAATCAATAATGAGGGATTTTTTGATTTTGAGCTATCTTTTACAGTTTAAAAATATCTCACCAAGTTACTAATTATTGCCTAAGCCCAAATCTGAATTTTGAGAACTCTTCTAAGCAAGATGTCTGACATTCCATCTCTATGCTCACATGGTCAGATTGTGAAAGTGAACTATATATTATGGCCATAGGTGAGGAGAATTTGAAATTGCATGAAGTTTTAGGATATATGACAAAAATATATATGTTTTCAGATATGCTTTAGCTGACTGATGTTCTGTTGCTATGAAGAAATTTATACACTGAAAACTACTGAAATGTATTTTAAGAGCTTTAGTTGACTTTTAAAATATTTTAATCTTTTTATCAGATTAATTTCAATAAATTATTAAATCATTTTAAAATTATTTAATTGCCACAGCTATTAGGCTACCTTTATTATAATAAGTTTATTAGAATATGTTAATTGCAGATTATATATTTTTAAATATAAATAATATCGAAGAAGAAAGTTATTTTTAACCTCATAAAAAATGGTCATCTCTTGACCTTTACTAATTCGCATTTAAATTAAAACTGAATGTATATTTATAATATAAGCACTTGAGGCATTTTAAATTCATTTTGATGATTTGTTAATATTCTGTATTAGGTTCAACTTTCCCTATACACATATTTGTCTGCTGAATTTATTGGAACTGCTACCATCTACACCACCATACGCAGAGTAGGAACAGTATTACAGCTAATGCACACCTTAAAATATTACTACTGGGTTATTAATCCTGCTGACAGTAGTGGTATTACACCTAAAGGATTAGGTATGTATAACACTTCCTCTGTATTTACATTTGCCTATGATTATTCTGTATTCTGAGTACTGTTACAGTGAGCAGTGTACATGACTGTGAAATCACTGAAATGTTTTCTTTCTTATGTAGCAAACTGGCATATTGAGAATGGTTTGTGGTAAAGAAGTTTAGGGCTTTTCAATATTAAATTATTTTGGAATAAAATAAGATAAAAAGCAACAGTATTATTTTAGCCTATATGCTTTTTTCATTCAGGAAAATACTTCATAATATTAAAAACAGATAAATCATATTGGTTATAACTGGTGTGTTCTAATACATCAGTTGCTTTCAACATTTTCAGATTGCTACTTTTTTTTTTTTTTTTTTTTGAGACGGAGTCTCGCCCTGTCACCCAGGCTGGAGTGCAGTGGCCGGATCTCAGCTCACTGCAAGCTCCACCTCCCGGGTTTATGCCATTCTCCGGCCTCAGCCTCCCGAGTAGCTGGGACTACAGGCGCCAGCCACCTCGCCCGGCTAGGTTTTTGTATTTCTTAATAGAGACGGGGTTTCACCGTGTTAGCCAGGATGGTCTCGATCTCCTGACCTCGTGATCCGCCCGTCTCGGCCTCCCAAAGTGCTGGGATTACAGGCTTGAGCCACCGCGCCCGGCCCAGATTGCTACTTTAAAAAATTTTTTTTTTCCAAATTTATCCTTTGTTCTCACTATAGTGGAAACTAATTTAGTTCCTCACTGTGGTTTCTTTTTTGTTTTGAAAATATAGCCAGTTTTTCTAATTATACAAAAATATAGAAAATAAAATAATACAGAAGAAAAAATATATTTATGACCCAAACCCCAAGAATAATTACTGATATGATTTTGTCATGTTTTCTTCCAGTGTTTCTCATTGCATACATATATGAAAATATTTAAACTTTATAATTATAGATAGAGATTTTCTCAATTTTTCTATCTTGTTCTTTTCTCAGCTTAATGTAGCAATGTAAGGGGATGTACCATTTACATTGTTTCTAAAGTTTTGATTCTGTAAATATTAGAGAATTCTCTCATTTATATATGTGTTTACCTCCATCTTTGATTTGTTTAAAATTACTGAGAAGGGGGCTAATGACAAATATTTTAAATTTTTTTCAGGAATGTCATATTATTTTACAGTTTTGCCAGTAGTATGTTACAGTACTTCCTTTTGCGTGCTCACAATAGCATTGAATATTATAGTTTTATAATAATCCCGTTGATAAGGAAAAATAGCACTTTCCAATTTTTTTCTTTTTTCTTTTTTTTGAGACAGAGTCTTGCTCTGTCACCCAGGTTGGAGTGCAGGGGCTAAAGTGTGTTTCCTATAAGCAGCATATATTTGGATTGTGTTTCTTTTTTTTTTTTTTTGAAACGGAGTCTTGCTCTGTCACCCAGGCTGGAGTGCAGTGGCGCAATCTCGGCTCACTGCAAGCTCCACCTCCTGGGTTCACGCCATTCTCCTGCCTCAGCCTCCTGAGTAGCTGGGACTACAGGCGCCCACCACCATGCCCCGCTAATTTTTTTTATATTTTTAGTAGAGATGGGGTGTCATCGTGTTAGCCAGGATGGTCTCGATCTCCTGACCTCGTGATCCGCCCAACTCGGCCTCCCATTTTACTATTTTAATATTTACATAAGCTTACTTTTATTATGTCTTTTTATTTTATTAATGGGGCTTTAGAAGTTAATTATACTCAGATCTGTTATTTTGTCCTTTTATGGCTTCTTCCATTGCTTTTAAGTTGATAATGCCTAAAATTTATTAGATTTTTCTGCCAAGCACTCTACATATTAATTTAATAATATATATAGTAATTATAGACATATCCATATACATACATAAGACTGCATCTACATATAACTTTTTTTTTGATATCATCCTCATTTTAAAGATTAGGAAACTGAAAGTCGATACAAACCCACCAGCACCAAAATTTGAATCATATCCATCTGACTCAGAGACCTAGTTCTTAAATGCTACACTATGATAGCATTTGCTCTAAACAGATCTTATATTCACACATAATAATTTTTGCCTTATAATATTAATTTCTAATTTACAGAAAAGTTACAGAGTTGTAAGCATTGCACAAAGAATTCTTATATGTCCCTCACCAGATTCTCAGTATTTTATATCTTACCACTTTAGCCTTTACTATTCTCTCATGCTCTCTTTTTATGTATATATAAGCACACCTGCAGATACATACACATATTTTTTTCTGAATCAATTGATAATAAATTGTAGACATGATACCCTCTCACCTCTAAATATTGTGTATTTCCTGAAAGGTAAAGGCACTTTGTTAAATAACCAGAGGATACCCATTAATATCAGTAAGTTAGCATTAGTATAATATTATCATCTAATTCACAGACCCCATTCAAATTTCACTAATTACAATAATGATGCCCTTTCCAGGAAAAAAATTCTTTTGCCCTAAGTCTGTTGAGGATCATATGTTGTGCTTAGTTGCATTCTTACTTTTAATGTTCTTCAGTGTAGAATAGTTTTTTAGTATTTCCTTGTCTTTCAGGACCTTGACATTTTTGAAGAATACAGACCAGTTATTTTTTTTGGATAACCTTAAATTTGAATTTTCTATTTGTCCATGATGATTCAGGTTTTTCATTTTTACAAGAAATTACAGAAGTCATATTGTATCTGTCTCCTTGTATTGTGTCAAGGAGGCACATGATGTTGAGTTGTCCTTTTCCAAGTGATGTTAACTTTAAACATTTGATTAAGGTGTTATCTTCCAGGTTTCTTCATTAAAAATCACTCCCTTCTCTTTGGTAATTAATAAATATTTGGTGGAGAAATACATTGAAACTATATAAATAACCTGTTCTTCAACCAAGTTTACTTGTTTTAGTTCGTTGATGATTCTTACTAGAAATTATCTTTATTGTGATGACTGACAAATGATGATGTTTTCTAAGACATAATTAAGCTGGCATATCTGCTGTGAGGAAGAACTTGTTTTACTCCTCCACTCTGTCTGTCTGTCTGTCTGTCTGTCTGTCTGTCTGTCTATCTATCTATCTATCTATCTATCTATCTATCTATCTGACATCTTTTATATCAGTATGGACTCATGTATTCAATATGTTATATGAACAGTTGGCATACTTTCTTTGCAAAGGGCCACACAGTGTTTTAGGCTCAGGGAGCCATAATGTCTCTGTTGCGCATAGTCAGCTCTGACATTGTATTGCAGAAATAACCACAGACAGCATGTAAATGAATAGGTGTGGCTTGTTTTAGTGAAACTTACAGAAACAAGTGGCCTGATGAATTTAGTCCTAGGGCTGTGGTTTCTCTGTCTCCTGGGTTGTATCATTATTTTAATGCTCAAGATTTGGCCAGTAGGACCCTTCACATGGATTATGGGACAAATGCCCATAAGTTTTAATACTTTCTTACTTTCTGAAACAAGATGTTTCTGACTTGTCCTACACTTTGCTTATCCCAGCCCTGAAATTAGCCATTTTTCCAAGAAGCCCTGCTTTGCTTGGTGGATATGGTTTTTAGGAACCAAGATCTGGATGTGAGGTGTGCTTCTTGGTTTTTGAATGTCTTTGCTTCTACATACTCTTAGTGGACAGATCTAGGAAATGACGTTCCTATCTATGTATATAGGTATATCTCAACTGATTTATCTATATTAAAACCATGAGTTCACAGCAGTACCTTCAATTCCAGTCCAAAGCCACATGGCTCAACCTAGCCTCAAACTTTTTAAGTTGCAGCTTTCTTCTTCAATAGTGAGAAATCTTGCTTCTATTGTCTTTAATACATTTATATATTTTCTTATTCTACTTTGTAAAACCAGTGTTTTGATACATACGCCATAACCTTCTCAGCTTTAACATTGCTAGTCATCTGTAACCATACCCTCAGATTTAACTCTGTATGGCCCTTGTTGTCTCCTCAGCCCCAGTTGTTTCTTTGGCACTGGCCACCCTCCTGACCTCTACTGTCTCCTTGGCCTGACCCTGGAAGTCCTTCCAGACTCACTTGCCTCTTTGGCTCTGTAAGACCCTGGGGATCACCAGAGCCTCTGCTCCTTCCATAGAACCCTTGCCCCTGAGGCCTCACTGGCTGTAGCTACATCAAAGAGAGGGAAAGGAAGAGAACCAGTACATATATTTTAAATGAAAATGACAGGAAAGTGGAATGAGCATTTATTTTTCTTTGTCATTTAAATAATTATTTTACTTTAACATTTTAATGCTTTGAAATTAATTTTTTTTATATAGTAGAATGTAAGGTTCTGACTTGAAGTATGTAGTTTTCTAAAGGACAGCATTTTTCAATACCATTTTAAACAAATGCTTTCTTTTAAGGACACTCTAAAGATAATTTGCACGACACTAACTTTCGTAGAACTGTTCATGTGTAGGCACTCACCTTGAGAAGTAGGATATTTTTGCTTTGACTATGACTTAACACTTTTGTCTCTTAAATTATGATTTATATAGTTAACTGTAGAAGCATTGAGATATATTAAAAGTATTATAGGACAGGTAATATGTATTTATGGTAGCAAGTGAAATAATACAAAGGTTTATAAATAAAATGTTACTACTCTCCCAGGTAGCCAATGTTACCAGTCTTGTATATCTTTCTACTGCCTTTTCTCTGCTCATACAAACATGAGCTTACTCATGCACACACATAGGTGTTTCAAAGCTTTATTTTGAATATATCATGAACACAAAGTGGTATAATTACATATATCAATGTAATATGTAAACATGTTATAAATATAAATATAAATATAAAATGAACCTCACTTAAACATCACTAAGCTTAAGAAACAGAACATTCCCAATGAGCCTGAATATTCTCATGCGTGATCACATCTCTTTTCTATTCCCTGTCATAGAAATAACCCCATCCCAAATTTTACATTATTTCTTTTCTTTACTTGGGTGCTTATTATTTTTTTTACTATGCTTTGCTCTTTTACTATTTATGTATGTATTACTAATTTATTGTTTAGCTTCTGTATGTTACATAAATAGTGTTATTTGGGGATTTGTTTTTTCATTCAATTTTATATTTGTTAGATAAATCGGTTTGTATTTTATTTTGTAGAAATGGATTTATATCAAGCACAAAGCACACAAATATGTATATATTTCTTTGCAGCATGCTGTTTGTATTGTGCAGTATACAATAAAAGTGATTATTGCTAACATTTGAGTGCTTATGATTAAAATGGGCCTGGTACTAGTCTAATTCCTTTACATATGTTGATCCATTTTATCCTCACAAGACGTCCTATGACAAGCAGTAGTATTATTCTTACCCTAACAATGAAGAAGAAAACAAACCTAAGGCACAGAGATGTTATAAAACTGGTCCAATTTTATTAATTGGTAGCAGAAATAGAAGTAAGAATAAGGAAATTATTACTAAGGCAGTATCTGTGTGTTTTTGGATGGAATGGGGATGTGATCAGGAAAAGGAATGTGGCACAGAGCTGAGGTCTGGAGCATGGTGAGGGCTTTGGCACGCAGGGCAGGATGGGGCCACAATCAGTTGTTAGATATTCAGGAATTTTATGAGCTGTTTGTTAAACTGTTGGTATCTTGAACTTGAAATCAGACTATTATTAATACGATAGAAATCAGAAATACTTAAATGCTCAAAATCAGGACCTCATCCCTCCACTCTGCAGATAATTCCTTTACCAGCATACCAGTGGTTGATGGGTTTCCCTGTCAGACTACTGTCAGTGTTCAATTTATTGACCAAAGAAGTGTTTATACAGGTGTTCATTTTATGATAATTCATTAAGTTGTTCATGTATGTTTTCTGTACATTGGCAATATTTTACAATGAAAAGTTTTTTTAAAGTAATACCAGTGTCAATAGGAGGAGAAGAGTACTTTGTGCATCTTGGTGGCAGTGGGGCAATAAAAGGTGGAGAGCAGTCTGGGAAATAGGGAAGATATTTCTTTTATTATAATAGGCGGGATGGATTTTTTGGATAACTTGCTTGCAGATGTAATAATCTTCATGTAAATATTAAGTGAATAAGCAGATGCTATAAATTATACATGAAGGGATTATGCTTTTAAAACTTGTCAAGCAGTAGATAAATACTGGTTGCTACAAGAAAGGCTTAATGTTAAAGGATTTTTATGAAGCCAGCTTCATTTTTTAAAAGTATTCTTTATTGTATATTATGCATATTACATGTATTATATTTTCATTTTTTAAAATAATTAGATATTTTGAAATTACTTTAAAATTTGTACATTATGATAGAACTGTTATGCACATCTTAATATTTTATGCTCATTTTCACTTATTGACACAGCATTTCTTAAATGCCCTCAATAATATGTATTTTCTGTATACAAGTGACATAGAAGAAATCTGCTGAAAAGCAGATAATTACAATAAAACAGAGTGTCATTTTTTCTGTGTTTTGTTAAATAATGTGTGGGGTGAAAATGGAGAGAGTCCTTAAATGAAGACAAATTTAATTGAGAATGGAAGACATATTAGAAAACCTATTAATGTAATAAAAACAAGAAAGTATTAAAGTATTAATATAAATAGTTGAGGATTATACATTTATAAATGGATATTAATATATTACAACTTTTTAAAAAGTTCTTTTTTCCACAAAATCAGACATTCAGTAAATAATTTGAAGTTGCCAAAAATTTGAAAGCTAATTTTTGGATACTCACATATTATTAAAATTGTATAACATTAATATAAATGTTGTAATTTAAATACATATAATTATTCAAGAATGCCATGGTATCCCAACATAATTGCATTTAGCTTATTTAATATCTTGTATTTTTTATTTTTACTTTTTTTTTCTGTTTTGTTCTAGATGGTCCCCGGCCATCACAAAAAGAAATTATATCACTGAGGGCATTTATGCTACTTTTTCTGAAACAGCTCATACTGAAGGTAAAATAATTTTATATAATTTAGAATTACAGTATATTAGGTAGAAAGGAATTTCTGGCATGTTTTAAAATTATTATTCTTAAATTAGTAATAGCTACCTTTAAGTGATGAATTGCTTTCAAAATTCTGCACATCTTAGTATTAACTTTTATTGAACTTAACTAACTTCTGGTTAAATGCTCTCTGAAATCTTCCCTATTAAGGGATGTGACAGAAATGGACAAGGAACATATGAATAAGAATTGAGCCCTTATTCTTATAATAGTTGACCCTTATTCTAGAGAATGATCTGTGTGCCAGTTTAAGAAGGCTTACATAACGCATTTTATTGTAGTAGGATGTTTTAAATGTTAAGAGGAAACCAAAGTGAAAATAAAAATAAATTGTGGGATAGTACCCAAAAATTGATACTGTATAGTCTTGCATTTATATTGTTTTAAGGAAAGAGTAAGTGATTAGAAAATAGTCATAAGAATACTTAGATGGTCAAAATATGCTAACTTTTTATAGTGAATGTCAATCAAATATTAATGACTTAAAAATTGATATGTTTCTAAATATTTACTTAATTAACTTGAAATAATATAGTCTATAAATTGTGAAATGTGTGGGGATTTTAGTTAAAATATCACTATATTAAACTTACTCTTATTTTCTTTTAAAATGATTATTTTGACATCTTTTTTAAATTAAAATTTTAATTTTAGATGTAAAGTAATAAAATATTTTTTAAAAATTAGGATCGAGGGGTCAAGGAAGATGAACTTCAGAGTATATTAAATTACCTACTTACGATGCATGAGGTAGGACATGTTATGGGCCTTCTATTTTAATTATTTAAGCCAATCTTTAGAGTAAAATTTTAAATCAATTTTGTTGATTTATGCAGGATGAAAATATTCATGATGTGCTACAGTTACTAGTGGCTTTAATGTCAGAACACCCAGCGTCAATGATACCAGCATTTGATCAAAGAAATGGAATAAGGTATGATATTACTATTAGACTTTAATGGAGCACAGTTGTTCCTCCTAGAATAACTCCTATGAATATTTAAATAAATATTGCAAAATCTTACACATAAGAGAATAAATGGAGAATGCTGCTATTGATCCTCGAATACTCAGGAAACTGATGAAGTATGTATAAACAGTAGTCTCAGGAATCAAGAAGAGTAATTAAATTGTTTTTGCTATAGTAAGGACATTACAAGTTGTGAATAGAGCTTTTTTTTTTTTTTTTTTTTTTCCAAGAAGACACAAAAAAGCAAGGCACGTTTTACCAAAAGAGGATACAATGAAATTTTATGATATGAGGCCTGAGAGAGATGATAGCCAGATTTGGAAGGTTCATAGAATGGTAATAATTTCAGTGGTTTTTTTTTTTTTTTTTTTTTTTTTTTTCAGTTGGTGATGAAAAAGAATTTTGAATAGGGGAAATGTTGTGCTCAGATACCTGTTTTGTTAGATTTACAATCACCACTGAAACATGATAAAGATGATAAAGATGACGACCTGAGACAGTGGCAGTGCAATGCAATGTAAATAACAGAGATGAAAGATGTTTTGGAATAAGAGGCCAAGACCAAAAGAAATTGAAAACCAACTTTTGTTGTGGCAGTTGAAAAGTAACTTGGTAGATAGGTGAAATCCAATTTCTTAATTAGTATTTTTATGAACTTAACCCTATAATTTAGCTTCTTAAGGAATTCTTCTGTTTTATTTTTCTGGAGTTTTAATTAGTGGGATGAGCAGGATATAAAGGTTATATCATGTATAACGCAATGAATTTCCACAGATTTATTGTGAAAAAGAGTTTAAAAAACAGTTTGGAAATAATATATCAGTGACTGTCAAGGGCTTTTTTAAGTGCTTTTTTTTTTACTTGGCCATTTAAATGAATGAATAACAACTTTCTAGACCTGAAGAACTCCTTTTCAAATTAGAGAAGCAATCACTATCTCTGCATGCATATCTCGCTTGTGATATCCCTATTACTTTGAGTTTATAATTCATGGGGCTGCCAGTCTATTTGAAGAAGATTATACATTTAGTGATTAACAACTGTTATAATTTTTTACTCTTGTTATAATTTTTTACTGTTGATATTTAACTGACTTTACCAAATAATGGCAATTTCATATAGTTCGATCTAATAATATAGTACAGTTACACTCACTTCTGAACTTATATTTAGATTGAATAATTAGTGTCCTTGTCCTTAGATTTTGCTTTGTTTATTATATTATCTAATAAATTTAGTGAATCAGTTGAAGATATCCACATTACTCTTATGGAAGATACCAAACTTAGATTGTCTAATATGATGAAATGCAGAAATATAATTCTATTATTTTGACACATCAAAAATATGATTCTACAATTGAGAGTACTATTTGGTAAGATCTTTAGGATTTACATAGTATTTTAAATGTATGGTACGAAAGAACTGATTAAGCACAACAGATTAAAAGGACTTGTGCTCATGGCTGACCATGAGCAGAGCATGTCAGATTGTCACCAGTGTGTTAAAAACAATCACACAGATTAAAAAACGGCCTTTCCTTGACACTTCAACTTTTCTACTTCAAAAATGTGGAGAAAGCTGGTTCAGAATAGTATAAAAGATGAAAAAAATAGGCTTATTAGATAGAAAATATTGAAAATGACTGAAGCATTTAAATGTCTGTATTCTAGAAAATAGCCATTAAAGGCTAACAGCTGTATATGACGTATTTTGGTAGGAAAATTCTGGTCTGTTGTAATTCATACAATTGAGTTCAGTATAATAGTTGAACAAAAAGAATGAACTCAGTTTAATTCTGATGATATGCTAATTGGGCTTAAGGAAGCCCTTGTGATAACGGACCACTGGACTAAGCAGCCAAAAAATTGGTATTTTTGTATCTGGAAATTTTCAAAGAAAGGAATAGACAACTACGTGTCTTATATAGCTTAGACCATTTGCTGGCTGAATATAGTGAGCTTAAGCAGGTCAATTAGGATTATTGTTAATTAGTAATAATGTATATTACAAGTAAACATTCATTAACAAAGTAAATTTCTTATTCATACGGTATCACATCCCTATGTAAGTAGATGTGTGATGGCCCTAGACATTTTCATGTTTCAACATTAATCATAATTTCTCTTGATCCAGGGCAGGGTCTGATACCTTTTTTCCTGCTACTCAAAGTTATTCCTAGAAAGTAGAAACTCTGTGAGAACTTCTAATTCTATATTTGAGTGTAGCCACATTTTTAGACTGTGAGGGTTTTTTTGTTTTTTTGTTTTTGACAGAGTCTCACTCTGCTGTCTACGCTGGAGTGCAGTGGCACCATCTCGGCTCACGGCAACCTCCACCTCCTGGGTTCAAGCAGTTCTCATGCCTTAGCCTCCCAAGTAGCTGGCATGACAGGCATGTGCCACCACACCTGACTAATTTTTTTGTATTTTAGTAGAGATAGGATTTCACCATGTTGCCTAGGCTGCTCTTGAACTTCTGCGCTCAGGCAATCTGCCCACCTTGGCCTCCTAAAGTGTTAGGATTACAGGCGTGAGCCACCATGCCTGGCCCAGACTGTGAGCTTTTACTCTGGTTCTCAAGACCATTTTTGCTGTTTAATGTTGTATCTTATGATTTCTTGAATGTATTTTTTTTTGACATGTCTGACTTTGCTATTCTCAAACTTGTCTTTTTTCATTACTGATCTTGGTTCCTAAAAGTTTTGAAAATGGATTTCAGTGTTAACCCATACATATTTATGAATGTGGGATTTGAAAAAAAAGATGTTCCAGAGGAAATGATCACTTTTCTCAGAGTTTATTCTTTAATAGTTTATTCTTTAATCACTTATTCTCATAGTTTATTCTTTTCTCATAGTTTATTCTCATAGTTTATTCTTTAACTATTATTCTCTAATAGTTTATTCGCTAAAAAAGAGAAAAAGAAGCAGTATCACTAACTTCTTTTTTAATAGTATAAGCTCTTCACAAAACTGAAAATAATGAGATTAACTTTAAGCTATTTGTTCTCCTTTGTAAGTATCACTGAAATTGTGAAAATTATATTGCATCTTTTACTAGATTCTCTTGTTCAGCTTAGTACTTTACCTGAAAATATACAATGGCATTTTATTTTTTAAGAAACATATTTAATAAAATAAAGCACACTATAGTGTTTTAGCACCTAAAGAACCTTCTTATATTCTAGAATTAGTTGTCAGTGTATATAGTTGTCATTGTCCCTTCTACTCTATGGAAACAAATTGCTTTTTTTAATAGAAAAAATATGGAATAAAATGTCTAAACACTTACAAATATTATAATGAATATGGCCCTACTTGTATATAGTACTTGAAGTGATTGTATAGGTTAGTTTGTATATTAGTGGAGGCTATTTTGCTCCAAGTAAGAGAAAACCTCTCAAGCTTTAAAAGTAAAAACTGAATAATATATTTGTTAAAAAAAAATCTTAGAGTAGGAACCAGGAATTGGAGGGCTATTAGGAAACAAGTTTGCTTTCTCTGCTGCTTTCTGTAAGCTGTTTAATCCTTCCTTCTATATGTTGACTAGCCTTTCTGAACAGAAACAAAACATTGCTGTTCTAGTTTCTGTTTTAAACAGTTGTCAAATTCAAGAGCCCAGCAAAGAGGAGATATTGTTTCTTAGACCTCATTCCAAATTCGCAAAAAGGAGAAATAACTAGGCAGGTGCCTACCTATCGTCTAATTAGTCATACCAAGAAAACAGGGTTAGGGTGCAGTGGCTCACGCCTGTAATTCCAGCACTTTGGGAGGCCGAGGTAATCGGATCGTTTGAACACAGGAGTTCCAGACTAGCCTGGGCAATATGGCAAAACCTCACCTCTATACTAAAATTAAGAAAAAACATTTTAAAAAAGAAAGAAAATAGGGTTATCAAGTTTAAATGTTGGGGCCAATTCTTACAGAGAAGAGATGTGGCCTAACTAAGCATGTGTCTTAGAACTGAAAATTGTGTTTAGTATGTTGGGAGGCAGTACTTATGAACACCAGTCACATTGCCCTTTTGAGTGTGTGGTTGAAGGACATGTTTAAAGAAAAATGATTAAAGCATGCTAGTTTTTAATTTTTCCAAAGAATTATAATCCTGAGAATAAAATCTTCAGAGAAATTTTATATTTCACATATGTATAATTTATTTGTAAAGTATATAGTGTGTTTTTGTTTTTAATATTAGTTTTTAAAAGATAATTTATGTATTTTTTAGGGTGATCTACAAATTACTGGCTTCTAAAAGTGAAAGTATTTGGGTTCAAGCTTTGAAGGTTCTGGGATACTTTCTGAAGCATTTAGGTCACAAGTAAGTTGATATTTGTCGTAATGCATTCTAGAAATAACTATTGAGATTATGTTTTTATGAGTTTTATATGTAATGTGAGATGAAATTTGACTTGAATAATGTAACGGTGGAAAATAATAGCTTTCTGTGATAGAAGTTGCAAAAAATTTTTATAAAATATATTTTATTAATAGTAGATTATGGAACAAGATTACAATTTAAATAATACAGTTTATTTCTATATTCTTCCTAAAAAGAAAGTATTATCTATTCTGAAGATGTAATAAAATATTTTGTCAAGACAAAACGATGCACATATAGGAATGATTTCAAGGAAAGCTTTCTTGACAAGGAAATACCATGTATATGTTGAGGTCTTTCTGAGAATTGATCTTATGCTTACCTGCTGAGTCGGTATTTGTTATTAGTTTCTAACAGTAGGGTTTATTGATTAATTTTGTGACTTACAGATGCTAGAATACCTCATATCTTTTCCCAAATCCAGAATTTGAATACTTTCTAAGAACACTTTTGGCGTAAGAACTACTGCTGGCTTAATGGTTGCAATTCATACTACACTATCCAGTGTGTGAATATAGTTTTAAGAGTATATTTTCCTTACAAATGAAGCCAAGGAAGTAGTGCAACTATAATTTAAATGCTACTAGATGAGGTTCCTATCAGAACCTCATTGTTAACCTCTTTTTTTGTTTTTTTTATTGGTGCTTACTTAAACTTGCAGAGCGCTTATTTGTAATAATCATGAAAACTGCACAAAATTCAGATAAGGCATGTCTAACAAGCTATATAGCCTAGAAGTTTAAATATTTCTAAAATTTTGGTTCCAAGCAATAATTAAGTAAGGGAGACTAGATATGCTATGAATATAAGGAATAGTTCAAACAAGGCCAGGATTGTAGAAAAGGATACACACACACACACACACACACACACACACACACACACACACACATACATACACACGTACATGGAACTGTAAGTACACTTGGTGACAGAATACTGGGAATGAAGAACCATATGCTCTTTCTATATTAAGAGATAAAGATCGCTTATTTAACTTCAGTTAATTAAAATAAGTTGACTGGACAAAGTTAAAGGATTGTAGCCCAAGATGCAGCCTCCTAAAAATGTCAAGAAAGCACATAAAAAAATTTATAAAAAGATGAAAACTCATTACCAAATTAAAAATAACAAACAGACAATTTCCTGTATAAACATGGTGTTTAAGATGCCCTATTTTCCCCTCTTTTCCTGTAAAATGTATGAATGATACAACAAGAAGTAAAAAATGTACTCTCTATCACAAATATTATCACAAGTAGAAGACAGATGCAAATATATGAACCCCAGAATATGGTTATCAGCTGCTTGAAGTCGCTAAGGTTGGGTAAAAGCTGTTAAGGCTAAAGAGAAAATACAAAGAGAGTGGTGAGAGAGTTCAGTTATAGCAAATAGGAAGTGTCAGTGAAGGTACATAGTTTCTGAAGATGAGAGGCACACCTTAAATTACAAAAATAGATCATTTGTTTGAAATAATAGATATACATATATCATGCCTGATAGCAGAGTTTTTTTTAAATCAGATTAGTTTCAGAAAAGGAGAAGATATATCACAAAGAATTACACAGATGAGCTATATTTGTGGCAAGCAGTCTGTCTCTGTAGCTATAGAGAAAGGGAAAGTTTTTGGATTGTGAAAGCAAAAAGATTACCCTTGTCCCTTCTTTTACACATGTTCATGGAAGTGTCCTGCAGACGGATGGTCCACGTAAATTAGACTGTATCAAAAGAATTGGCACATCATCAGTGCATGTGTATCAGATAAAAAACATGGAAAAAGTAAGTTAATCAGTACATGAATAGCACTTAGCAGAAAAATACTGCTATGGAATATAAAGCATTTAGATTTAAAAATTTGCTATCATAAGTTAAAAATAAATAAATAAATACATACATACATACGTAGCTTCTGAAAAAGAACCACTAAACAGAATTTGGAGAAGTAATCCAGCTACTCAGGAGGCTTACGCAGGAGGATTGCTTGAGCCCAGGAGTTTGAGTCCAGCCTGGGCAATGGAGCAAGGTCCCCTTCTGGAAAAAAAATAGTTGTAAGAAATGTTAACATAGTGATATGGTTTGGTTGTGTCCCCCCACCTAAAATCTCACCTTGACTTGTAATCCCCATGTGTGAAGGGTGGGACCAGGTGGACATAATTGGATCACGGGGGCAGTTCCCCCTTGCTGTTCTTGTAATAGTGAGTCACATGAGATCTGATGGTTTTGTAAGCATTTGGCATTTCCCCTGCTTTCCCTCACTCCATCTTGCTGCCCTGTGAAGAAGGTGCCTGCTTCTCCTTGCCTTCCACCATGATTGTTAAGTTTCCTGAGGCCTCCCCAGCAATGCAGAACTGTGAGTCAATTAAACCTCTTTCCTTTATAAATTAGCCAATCTTGGGTATTTGTTCATAGCAGTGTGAGAACAGACTAGCACAGATAGCATGGAAGTATTTAATTATGAGCTAATAAAACATTGGACAAATACTGGAGGAAAAGAACTATACACAAAAAAATAAAATTGGAAATTTCTCAAAGGCAAAACTCTGGCTAGTAACATAGTGAAATACACAGAAGATAAAACTGAAAAAAAAGCAAATAATATGAATAGATGAAAACGTGAGTTTAGGATTAGAAAGAAAATGAGCAACATGGGAGAAAAACAAATTACCATAATGGCATAAATCGGCCGGACGCGGTGGCTCACGCCTGTAATCCCAGCACTTTGGGAGGCCGAGGTGGGCAGATCAATGAGGTCAGCAGTTTGAGACCAGCCTGGCCAACATGGTGAAACCCCATCTCTACTAAAAATACAAAAATTAGCCGGGCGTGGTGGTGGGCGCCTGTCATCCCAGCTACTCGGGAGGCTGAGACAGAAGAATCGCTTGAACCTAGGAGGCAGAGGTTGCAGTGAGCTGAGACTGTGCTATTGCATTCCAGAGCCTGGGCAACAGAGTGAGACTCCGTCTCAGAAATAATAATAATAATAATAATAATAATAGCATAAATAGAGTTCCCAAATAAGAAAAGCAGAACAGTGGAACAAAACAAATATTTAAATCTATAATTCAATGAAGTCTTTATGTAAGATTTTGCCATTCTTATTTAGAGGACATATTGTGTGCCAGGGAAATCTGACCTAGAATGGTTAGCATCAAGATGTGTTACTGGACTTAATTATAAGAATACTTGGTATATTAGTGCACAAATAAAGAGAAAAATGAGTCTGGCTTTAGACTCCAAAATAACCTTCAATACAAAAATCTGTAACAATCATAAGATACTTAAATGAAGAAAGTGGGAGCCAAACTATCCTTTAAGTAAAAAGAATGTTGTCAAACATTTTTAAGCCATACAGCAAATTATTTCTGTGACTAAATTTTGAGGAAATTGCTGGGGATAAAGTCCAACCAATTAGGAATGACTGGAGAAACTATTGCTAAGGACAGCTGGTGAGCACTGAATAAATTTATGCTAATATATAAAAAGTAAATTCTGATCTATCACAATAATACCTACATTTATTTTAGTCTTAGTTTTATGGTTAAAATGAATTGGGAGGGGTGAGAAAAGAAGGAAAGCAGAGCAAGTGCAAAGAGTCAGAATTTCCATGTAAGCAGACAGATGAAATATTACAAATATAGGCCTATTGACTAAAATTTGATGATGCAGATGAAAGGAAAAAATTAAGAGCAAATATGCTGACATTTAGATTTCTCATAGTAGGGAAATACCCTTTTTAAACAGATGTAGGATTACTTATTCTTTCATAAAGAGATAAGCAGTTCTATAAAATTATAGAGCTTTCCAAATATTTAAGATCTGTATGGATAAAACTAAGAACAATATATGTAATGGAACTTTTAAAAATCTGTAAAGATCAGTAAGCATAACATAAAATATGACATATCTAAGACCAGTCATATTGTCATAAAAATAAATGTAAAAGGTTTTATACATCACCTGTTGTAAGAAAAATATCACAATTGATCACTGTAATAAAACCCAGTTCTGTACGCAAGAAACATACCAGAAAACCAAAGTGGTTTTGAAAGGTTAAAAGTAAAAGGATGGGTAAAGATTTATCATGTAAGCACAAAGAAAGCAGAAAGTAGGAATCATGATCTTAATATTGGACAAATTAGAATACAAGCCAACAAGCAATAACCGTTAGATAAAGAAGAATTATTTATAATGATAAAATAGACACATTCATAAAATAGAAATTACAGGAGAAACAGACAAAGTTTAAAACTTTAAAACAAACTTTAATTCACCTATTTCAGTCCACAAAAAGCCAAAAAGTATCTGGGATGGTGGGATAAATCTTCTCATCCTTAAACTTGTAGGTTGATGTATAGGAAGATTGGAGTGCTATCATGCTGGTTCCAGGGGCTCATGGTGCAGAACTTACAGCTTGCTAAGTTTTATACTACAGGTCAGTAAGTTTAGAGGGTGCTTTGCCTGACACCGCCTGCAGCGATCTCATCATTTAAAATACACAGCCATGAGATTTGACCTTGACTCTGTGGATAGTGAAAAATAGCAACTCATCTAAAGGGGCCTACTAGTCAGAGGCAGGATAAGAGAATCATCAAACTATGTACCCGGTGAAGTAGAACTTTGGTGGAGGCTGTTGTGGAACTTTTGAATTTCATTTGTACAAAGAGCTTTTGAGATTCAAATAGAGCACCAAAGATAATATTCTGCTCTTTTAGCTGATGATTTTTTAACCAGTTCACCCTAATTAGCGGACTTGAAGATCTCAAAGCATGGATGAAAAATAGAGAGTGAGGGAAAAGATAAAGCCTTGGAAAGTAAGAGACTTCACATGTGACTATTAAGAGTTCTTAGAAAACTGATGGATGTAAAAACTAGATATCCTGAAACACTTTGATCTACTAAAAACCTAGAAATGTTAGATAAAAATATGTCAATAATCCTGT